GTGAGCTAGCTCACACTGATTCAGCTTAGAGGAATCCTGATATTATGTTTTTTGTTGGGTGATAGTGAGATATTGAAAAAATGGTATTTAGCAGAGATAAGATAGTCCAGCAGAGCCAGGGTAAAATAATTCAGACTGAGAGTCCATGTGTGATTAAAATATAAAGTTTTTACTAAATTCTAGCATGGGAAGGGTAACTGGGATGAAAATAACAACAGAGCAAAATCGGCTACATCCTTACTCTACAAAGACAAAACTAGAAGAGATCTTCTTCTTCTTCAGAACACCAAACAAAGACGGGAAGAGAAGCCATAAAATGGTAATACACCTTGACACTTTAGTCCCAATCAAATTCCTAGATCAGGGAGAAAATTCCCGGGCTTTCTACATCTAAAGAACATTGGTTACATGAGAAACATGTGACTTCCTGTGAGTAACATAAACAAACATTAACCCCAGATATACTGAGTGTTTTCAACTTGTAATACCCAACATTCTTATTCCAGTGTGTGGTGTGTGGGGGGCAATGGAAGCTGAGTGATAGGGTCTCTCCAAGTGATTCCCAGAAGTGAGATGCGTCCTGGTCTTGTGTCTTGGTGCACACTTCCGGTGATGTCAGGAGGTGTGGCATATGCTAATAAGTTATGCTAATGAGCTCCTGCAGCACTTTTTCTATGAAATGACCCCTGCTGCTAATACACAGATTTATTTATAGAACATTCAGCTGACATATCTGGGTGCAAATTAAGCTCAGGGCGTGTTACGTTTACCTGGCCAGAGGGAGGCACAGGTGGTTTGCTGCACTGCGCACATCCTAAAGAGGTTAGGGATAGGAACAAAAGGTCTTGGGGGGGTTCTTTGTTTATTCCCACCCCAATGCAGGGGGCTGCACTTTTGGGAGGATGGACTATATTCCTGAGTTTTCAAATTTAGATTCATTTGTAATTTTGGCAAAAATGCATTATAGCCTTCTCTAACTGCACACTCGTTATAATCTAAAATTATATCAAATATGTACTGATATATATATATACTGCTAATATGCATATTTATTTACAGAATATTTGTTTTGCATGTTGAATCATCCTTACGTAAAAGCTTTTTGTAAACAGAGACATATAAAGTGTCTGTTCTTTAGGCAAGCACATGGCCTCACTTATTACTCTAGACCGAAATAACTCTCACTCAATTTAGATTAGAACCTGCATCATCTTGTTATGTAAACACTGGAGTCAAACCACATGCTTATATTTAGGAACAAGTTTAAGTAACAGACCTGTTTTCTGCAGCGTGATTTACATGGGATTGAGCATACAAGTGGTAAATTAGGAGAAACTGCAGCAGAGAAACACTTAAGATAAAACACTGACAGGAATCAAAAAGGAAAACTTTGATTGTAAAAAAAATAATGAAAAAGCAAACAAACAAATCAAAATTCCACCTAATAGCCCTGTTTCCTTGTGGAATGCCCCCCCCCCCATTTTCCATGTCACACAGCCTGTTTATAATCAAAACTCTTAGAGCAAAGAAACCCTTCTTAAAATATGTCACTTTTTTCTTTTATAAAACACTCCAACACATTTTCTCCTGAGTTGAAAATTCTGCATGCCAGTTGCTAAAGCCAAGTTATAAACTTCTAGAACACAGGATTTATAATGGAAATCAAGGACTACGTAATCACTAGACACATGTTAAAGTATTCTTTTGCCATTTTAAGGCCTGACCTTAGATTTGGACGGGGGGTGCGCTTCATCAGAATTTCACACTAGGCAAGATAGATCTTAATAGGGAAGCCAAAGCAACCACAGTAACACAGGTTAGTTAGAGTTTATGTTATAAAACTTTACCTCATTGCTCAACAATGTCATTAGCTTGAGTCATCCATTTTCAGAAGTACAATCGAGTCTGCCAGAACACACTGCCAGCCTTGCACAGCTGTACAGAACAATTTCTGCCCATCACTAGATCACTTTTCTGCAACCATTATTTCAACGTTAACTGTGTATTTTAAACTAATATTGATACAGGCTAAAATTCAGTGCTTAAGAATGCCACAATGGTTATGATTTGAAGGCCCTCGCATGCATTCACTGCTTGGTCTAAGGCACGGCTATTCCGAAGAGCCCGTCGTCATGCTGGTTAAAGCATTTGTAAGAGCACAGCAGTATCCTGACAGGTAAGAGGTGCAAGTTTCTGCTGGTCTTCATTTGCTTTAAAGGAAGAAAAATGGGAAAAAAATCAGTACACAGAAATTACAGTATGTTACAGCTCAAACTACGGAATTATTTTATTTATTTATTTTATTTATTTTTTGGGATTTATATCCCGCCCCATCCAGTATTCAGCTCGGGGTGGCTAACAGGCGGCCATGCCGAGATTAAAATATACATACAACAGCATAGTAAAAACAGATATCTAACATAAAATTTGGTGCTCTCATAAATTACATACAATTTCATACAATCCAAGATGGACGACATCCCAAACTGGCGGTCAAGTTATTCACTGCAGAAGCGCCAGGAAGAGTGTTTCCCCAGATCTGTTGGGCGACATCTGCCCCTGCTATGTGGGGCAGATGGTTATAACATCATTGGTGGTATAATGGCGGCGGCGGCGGCTCCCCCTCAAAGGCCTGGCGGAAGAGCTCCGTCTTGCAGGCCCTGCGGAACTGCACTAGGTCCTGCAGGGCCCGAGTCTCTTCCGGGAGCTCATTCCACCAGGTGGGAGCCGCCACCGAAAATGCCCTGGCCCTGGTTTGGGCCAACTTTGCTTCCCGGGGGCCTGGAATCTCCAGGCGATGGAAATTCCCCGACCTCAGTGCTCTTGGGGGAACATACGGGGATTATGTTTGTGTATGAACTGAAGCCTCCTTGTGAATCTACCTCACAGCAATCAATGTAGCAAACAATTCCTGACACCTGTCCGGGCTTACCCGGTCAAGGTGAATGGCAGAGCGCTAAAAGAAATTATGCTCAAAAATTAAGGATCTTTGTGTCAAGGTCACAGCTGTCCTCTCAGAGCTCTGAACCACTTTTATCACTGAAGAGCAAGGCACTTTTGTACCTGTGGAGAGAGATCCAAAACAACATAATCTGGTGAGGAAAATAGGCCAACAGGAGCCCAGGGAAAGGTAATTTATTGAACTATACTAAAAAAAAAAATGGAGAAGCTGGAGTGTGAAACTGAGACTTAAGATGTCATACCCTGATGATAGTAACCATTAGGTTTTTCTGCTTTCATGCTTTTTTTCTGTGCCGTAGCTCCAATTTTACCCTGATCTCCTATTGTATGTGTATACGTATGCCAATAAAGGCTTGTCAAATGTAATGTATACCCTGATGATGAGGTGCTAGAAAACAGTGTCAGATTTACCACTTCAGCACAGGCCTTAGAACAAGTAGCAAGCAGTTGCTCTTCTAGAAACCTTCCCCAAGGGAAACACCAGATTCTGTTATGGTGGTCTCCCTTTTGTGTGGGGATTCTGTTTGAAGTTCTACTATCTTGCGTCCTCCACGCACAGGCTAAACTCTAGTCATTCCTCATAAAAATAACAGGTATGTAACCTCTGTGCCTTCTTTCTGGGTCTACTTGAAGTGTATTGGAATGCATTTAGTATATTACTAGATCTTAGTTCTTACTTGTGGTTGTACCCCTCTATCAAAATTCTCACACAGGCAAGGAGTGTTTGTTTTTATTTGGAAAAGCTACGTGCACTTCTCCACATATGCTTCAGGTGGTTTACACCACTCTCACATTAAGTGCTGGGCTTGTGGAGTCCAGCAGAATCATCACAATTAAAAGGAATCCTAGGGATCTTCTAGATCCCAACATATCAATATAAAGCAATTCCGAAATTTGTCTAGCCATTAAGAATGCAAGGAAATTGATTCCACACTTCTTTAGGAACTTCGTTCCATTGCCAAAGTTCTGTAAGGGAAGTTCTTCACAATATTCAGTCTAATCACTGCTTTTCATTCTTTCCACAGCAGAAAGAGTAAACAATTGTTAACTTCTTCTTATATAATGCCTGAAGACCACTCAGCAGATGCCTGACACAGCAGCAACAATTTCAGTACCATCAAAATAAGCTGATATATAACCAGCTTTATAAATACATTTAGAGAACACATATCAAACACAAATCTATACAGATTGGGCTACTCAGAAATAAAGCAGCTTGGTGTACGTGCCACTCCCTTTGATAGCTGCTCTTCTGCGTAACAATTTGGTAGCCACTATTAACTGGCACCCATTATTATTAACCACATTTTTGTCTTTCCCTTTCTATCCAGTCCACTTTTATTCCACCCCTCCTCCAAGGAGCTCAGGGCAGCATGCAAAGTTTTCCCTTTCCCATTTTATCCTCATAACAGTCATGTGACTGGGCCCAAGGGCATCCAATGAGCTTCACTGGAGAGTAGAGAAGGGGAACTAATTCTCCTTGGTCCAAGTCCAACACTTTAACCACTATACCACACTGGGTCTCAGATTCCAAGGAACTCAAAGCAACATTTTTCCCTCATAACAAAATTTTACCTAGCAAGCTTCATAGTTTGACTGGGGACATGAAGTTGGGTTGCGGTCACACACACTAAATAATCCACTTTCAGTGCGCTTTCCAACTGGATTTTACTATGTGAACTGGCAAAATCCAGTTGGAAAGTGCACTGAAAGTGGATTATTTAGAGTCTGCGACCTTGGACTTTCCTAAATTTAAGCCCAACACTTCAGCCACTACATATCCAATGATGTGATGGATGCCATATCTTTTTGTCAGATTCACTTTCAGCAGCTCTGGTATCAAAACTGAAGCTTTGGTGATTATGGTGTTAAATATGAATGAGGCATACCTGTCAGGCCTGATACAATTGGAGACCTGGGCTAGCCCAGTCTTGTCAGATCTCAAAAGCTAAGCAGGGTCAGCCCTGGTTTGTATGCGGATAGGAGTCCACCAAGGAAGTCCAGTGCTACTACATAGAGGCAGACAATGGCAAACCACCTCTGAACATCTCTTGCCTAGAAACTATGGGGTTGCTGTAAGTTGGCCGCAACTTGATGGCACTTTCCACCACCGCACATCTATGGTGGTAGTATCTGTATCTATAACTGAGAAGCAGTTATGAAACCACTAAAGATAAAATTGTGATGAAAAGGGAGGCGTATTAGTAGGTTTTTGAAACCCTTTTTCTTCTCACCTATGGTTTTTCACATCTACACTCCTAACATATTGCAAGGATAATTAAAAAATCTACAAACATTGCATTTGCAACTGCTGCAGCTATCCGCAGCAAACCCCATCCCTTGTCAGCTAGAAAAGTAATTGTTATAAATCATGAAAAAATTAAACCACAATATAAATGAAACGTATGTCAGCTTTATTGGGGCTCAGCTGAATGTGTGATTGAAGGGTGTGCTGTAGTAAAATTACAATGATTTTTCCAAAATGCGGATCCTCCAAGTCAGACTCATTTGGAGCAAGGCAGGTTCACTTTAATCCCTTTCAAAGTTAGTTTTTCATTACATTACATCATTTCATGCAAGGCTGAAAGTTCATTATGCAACACACGAGTAGTTTACTCCCTACAGTTTTAACTTTAAGAGGAACTAGGGGAAAGTTAAAAATTGCACAGCTAAGAGGAATGAAAAAATGAACAATCTGAGCCAGGCAGTGGAATTCAAGGCCATGTTATAATCAAATGGCAAATCTCAAACCAGGCTACTAGTCAGTGTCAGATTCTGAGAGAACTCAACATTAGATGACAATCAGAATAGCTAAGGAACCATGAATAGACCTGTAGATTCACAGATACTAATTTCCTAGGACTACTGCTGACTCCTAAAACACCATGCTGACACTGACTTGGGTCAAGTGCTAATTTCCACTGGCAGAAGGGATTTACATCAGCAGAACAGGACTTCTCTGTCTTTTCCCTCCTGCTACTGCCCAACCCCCCCCCAAAAAATGCTGCTCTGAAGAGACAAGGAACCCTCCAGGACCAGCATGAGCGGGGTGTCAGAGTTCTGTAGAGGGAAGGAAGAGCTTATGAAGTCTTGCTCCACTGATAGAAATTCCTGGTGAAACTAACTCCCCCCCCCCTTTCAGTTTGCAGAAAACTTTCACTAGATTCAAGCCATTATCTGCAGCCCAACAGTGGCCATACAATATTTGGCTTGAAATATATGGAGATGGTAAGTAAGGTCATTGGAGACCTAAGAGGTGAAATACTGGGAGAAAGAGCTGACTTTGAAGGAAAGCAAATACATTTTCAGAGCAGTTCACCTTCACTGCTACTGTCATTCCCTTCTTTAGTAACCAGGTGAAACTAATGCAATCAGGGAGAGGCGTCAAGGGGAAAAGACACTTTTCAATACACTGTACACATCAGCTAAGTGAGTGCTAGCGATGGAGAAGAAAATATTCTCTGTTAGAAGATATGGGGTATACCTCTCTCCTCATCATCAGGTTGACAGGTGCCCCGCCCCATGACGTGGGTGCTGGGGGAAGGCAAGAGGCTGTAGTGGAGGGGCTGAGGGCAGCCGCAGGCTGCCCCTCCCCCCTGGGGGACGTGAGGAGCACACGGCTGCTGCCCAAGGTGGGGGAGGAAAAAAAATGGCTGCTTGAAGCACATGGTTGATTCCCCGAGGTGGGGGAGGGAAATTGGCTGCTTTGGAAACGTGTTTGGGGCCAAGGGTCTTGTGTAGTTGGAGAGTGCTTTGAAACGTGTTTTGGGGGGGGTCAGGGACAAGTGTTTGTGGCTGGGACACTGGAAATGTGCTTTGGGTGAACGTGGCTGACTGCAGGCTGTGCCTGGGGAGTCCTGGGGAGCTCCAGGGTGCCCCCACCCCCCCTTGCATGCCCCCCTCCCTCTGTAACTGAGAGTCCTGTAGACCTCCACCCATCCCTTGCATGCCCCCACCTTCCACTGTACCCCAGGCTGGCCACAGGGAGTGGTGTGAGCCACGGCTAGGAAAAGGTTCCCTTGGCAGTGTCTCTCTGTCGTTTAGAAAACGCTGGCTGTTCTGGCCAGGAACTTCTGACAAGCCAGGCAGTGCCGAGAGGCAGGCATAGAGGTCCCACACAGCCCCATGGCAGTTGTAGCAAGAGTCCCACCAAATCATTTCTCCCAAAGACACGCAGCAAGAGAATTTACTTACCATATTTCCCCTAGCCCCATATTTTAAACTGTGTTTAACAAGCAAATTCTGGCTGTGTGTATTGGAGAGAGACGGCAGGCAGGCAGAATGACTCAGCACAAATCTCTCACCCTGATAGCCATGCGGGCAGGACTCCTCCACCCTCCCTGCAGACGTCACTCCTCCCTCCTCCTTCTCCACCTCCCTCCCCCCTCCCACACAGCTCCGTGAGACAGGCCCCTGCTGCTGTAAAAAGATAAGAATACCAGACCTAGTTCTGTGCTTTTAACCAGGGGCCGTTCCCCTGCACATGGAAAAAGTTCTCAGACACACTGCTGCTGACCATGGAAGCTCGACTAATTGTCAAAAATAAAAATAAAAATGTGTTTTTGGAGTCAAAATGAAAAGTCTTTGCAGAAAAGTTATTAAGCAGGCAGAACTTGTGCAGGAGGAGTCTCTAGGCAGGCCCTGGCTGGGTGTATAGCTTCTGGAGGGGGCTGATAAGAAAGGGGTGGGGTGTGCTGTCTCTGCAGGGTTTTTCTCTCTCGACACCAGCCCTGCAAGGTGGTGTTTAAGGTGCTGCGGGACTCTTTTCCATGCAATGTCTGCATGCAATGTAAAATGAAAGGTTTTATAGTACAAAAACTGGATTCAGAGGCCCCATGGGGGCCTGTGTATATTTTTGCCGTCTAATCAAATACATTTTCATTGCGGCCAAAGTGTGTGTGCAGTCATGGCTGACCTCGCAGCCACCCCCTCCACTTGACTAAGAAAAACGTCTTTTTCCTATCTGTGCGGCTTTTTATAATTTTCTCGATCCTGTATGTTCTGTCTTTCCAATTGCTGACTTTTTGCAGCTCCTCCTGGTAAAAACCACCCAGGACCGGCTCACCGTCAAAATCTACCAGCCTGTACATGGGCCTCTCGCCCCTTCTGAGCACCTCTTCTATAATAAAGATTCTGTTCCAATGTGGGTTTGGTAAAATAGCGGAGTGAATACTAAATGCAGAATGGGCCCATATCTCCCCTGTTAACCTGACCTCTGACACTCCAGAGTCCTTTGAAGATGCTAGTGAAAGAGAGCTAGTGAGAGTCCATCTTGGCTAGGCAAAGACTACTTTAATTCAAGGAAACAAAACAAAATAAATGCTAAGTCACTATGAGGAAGTGAACCCCTCTGACCTGTAACTTCAGACCATATCAAAGCAGGAAAAGTACAACGATCAGTCCTTGTGAGCCATCAATGGCCATTCCCACATAATCAGAAAAAAATTGGCACTGTATGACAGAGCAATCATGCTCCTTCCAGAATAACAGAAGCAGAGCTTCTCCTGTGCCCAATGGTAACCACACCCAAACTCACTTTCGGTGAAATAACACCTATTCCTCCTCTTACACCATCTGATCAAAAAGCCTAGACATTTAGAGTTACAAGGAAGGGTTTTCAAACCAGCAAGTGAGGTACAGTTTATCTCAAACTGTCCTCCACCCCCATGCAACTACTCCCAAACCTCACAGACACGCTTCACATCAGGCAACACATGACCTAAACTACTTCTTCATTCCCCTGCTCACCCTCTCGGAACAAAAGCCCTCTTCTAAATTCTTGTTGCTTGCCACATTCCCTTCTGTTCCAATCCAAGGTCCTCTTCTCTTCCCTCACTTTCTCCTTCCCACTCTCTTCCCCACTCAAACCCTCCTTCGACCACCAGTCCTACCTCCAACCAGCTCTACTCCTTCCTCAGCACAGAAATCCTCTCCACCCAGGACTCAGGCCCTTTCCACATGTATTTATTTTCCTATCAGTTCTGGCCCCACGCTGCTTCAGTTGATCCCCAATTTCTGCTTGCATTTTTGTGCCTTTCATTTTTATTCCTTTTTTTATTAAAAATTGTTTTTTAATTGTTACTATTCCCATTGTCAAGCCACTTCCTCTCCCCCTCACCCTGAAAATGAGTGTTTTCAGTTTTTATTTTTTAATGGTCCTAAAATATCAATATATTGACCTAGTGTTGTAATGAATGCCTGGCTTTCATTTAAAAAATTAAGTCTCCAGCCCCTTTCCTCATGAATATATGCCTTTTACACATGTAATCCCTTGTTTCCTGGTTAAAACTCTAGTGCTAAGAAAATGCTATAGTAATCGTCAAGTATAAAAGATGCATAATCAGCACTGAGAAACAGAGAGTTGTTGTGATGTAGTGGGCAGTTCTGGCCTTCTGTATGGAAAGCTCAGGTGTGGTGTAGTGGGTACAGTGTAGGACTAAGATCTGGGAGACCTGAGTTCCAGTCCACATGCTACCATGAAGCTCGCTGGGTAACCTTAGGCCAGTTAGCATAACTTACCTAAGACGGTTCTTTTGAGGATACCATGAAGAAGAGAGAACCATGAGCTCCTTTAAAGGGTGAAAAAGAAACATAATAGACAGATAGCAGATTGAAAAGGGCATTTCACTATGACAATCACTAGATTGTCTTGGGACTATAAACATATATCATCAGTTTGTTGTATAGATGGAACGCTTCATTGTAAAATGGGTGAAAGATTTTAAAATTGATTAAATAGGCAGAAAGGATGGAACATTAAAGGATATATGAATAGCATAGCAAGTATGGCAGATAAATATGAGTAAGGCTATAGCAGCTCAGACAGCAGATGGCTAGCTGTGGTGATGGAAACAGAATGCTGGACTAGATCAAAGAATCCACACAAGGCAAGGGACAGACTGGGCAGATTTTTCTACAAACATGAGGGTAGAGTGAAAAGAAGAAGAAGAGATTGGACTTATACTCCTCTACCTGAAGGAGTCTCAGAGTGACTTACAATCTCCTTTCCCTTCCCCTCCCCACAACAGACACCCTGTGAGGTAGGTGGGGCTGAGAGTGCTCTTTCAAAAACTGCTCATAAGAGAACAGCTCTGAAAGAACCAAGGTCACACCAGCAGCTGAATGTGGAGGAGTGGGGAATCAAACCCAGTTCTCCCAGATCAGAGTCTGCACTCCTAACCACTACACCAAACTGGATCTGAAAGGAGGGGAAGAAGGAAGGGAATGGGAGAGAAATAGGAAAAGATGAATATCAGGATAACATAAAAAGGCGGTGGGTGAGACAGAAGAAAAAGGGCTGGCAATGGGCAGGAAGGAGGGAAAGCTGAAGACTTGGGAAGGCAAATAAAGACAGGTTCAGGGGTCATTTCCTGCAGGAGCGCACAGGAGCGGAGCTCCGGCAGTAAAGAGCCCAGGGGGTGGGCACATGCAACAAGCCCCACCCCCTCCTCCCAGCAGCCTTCAGTCAGAGCAAGAAGCAGCCAGGGAAGTTGCCGCGCCC